ATCATCATCAATTACCTTTCTTGAACATAAACACACCATATTCTTTATGAAATAAATAATCTTAACTGTCATGCCAAATGTAATAAAGTTGATTCTTGTCTAACATTTATAATAGCATATAATACAGGAGTAACATGAAATAACTTATGACAAGTTTCATATGTTGGCAGTTTGCACTACCTTTAAAGAAATATTATGTTGCTTTAATATAAACATTTAAAATTTATTTCGTTTATACAAATGGAAACTAGACTTGAATGAGAATCTAACCATATAAGGAACTCCTTCTAGTTCACCTTGTACAATTTATAGTGAATTTTCAAAGTTGACTTACAGAGGCTGCTTTGAGCAGAATCTGTTGTCTTGTTTTCTGACATATCCTCGATTAAAAATTCATATCTTTTTGTATAATTATTGAAATCAGTTTCTGTTTGTTCTCAAAAATAATAGACTGATGTACAAATCCAATGACATAAAAATTATCCTCTAATCATTTTTATAGAATTTATGGTGATCTTCTAAACTTAATGTTTAGAACATAAATCTGGGCAGATTTCACTAACTCATATTTTCAGCTAAGTCACTAATTCTATTAGCATACCAAATAAATATATATGCATGAATCACAAAATTTCATAACATTTAGGAGTCACTTCTTACCATAATAACTCCTTCACTAGCTCATCACAAGCCAATGTTTGCACGATATCATAAATACAAATTAAATATGCACTTACCTGGAGTCCTTAGCTTGCAACTTTCCTTAGAAATTCACATTTCATCCTTAAGCTCTCATTAACTTTAAAATTGTTTGATCTTGCACACAATCTAAATGAACATCATTTACAAAACATGTTCATTTCAAACCACATGTTAAAATCTCACTAACATAGGCTCATAATAGAAAATAAATTCCTAAAAATCTTTCGATGCTCATTTGATACTAATTCTATGTCATACAATATATATTGACTTTAACACTTCAAGTTGACCATCCAATTCCCTTTTTATCCAAATTCACCCAAACTTCACATAACCTTTTTCAAATTTCCATTTTAACCACTAATTATGAATTCTTTTAGAATTTATCTCAACTTTTACATTTTATTCTAAATAGTCATTTGCCCTTTTACTTCAATTCAAGTCTCAAACAACTTTATTAAATTTCCAGCATCTAATTTCCAGCCCAATACCTCAAAATTTATATTATTACCACTTAAGTCACTAACTTTCTCAATATTTGCCATTTATTACTCAAACTTTGACAAGTTCCAAAAATAGTCAAATTTCACATTCTAACACCAAATTCATCACTCTAACATTAATTTCCATCATTGTACTTCATGTATTAAATAATTATACATAAACCCCATAACTTTTCAAGATTTTCAAATAGGTCCCCTAACTTTCTCAAAATTACAAATTGTTTCAAATAACTTTCTATAGCTTGTAGGATCCTTCTTACATCATTTCTAACCCTTGTATATTTTTTCTCACATCCAAAAGCTTAGGTTGAATGTTAAGGGGGTAGGGTTTCATGATTTCAATTAATTTCAATTTGATTCAAGCATGAAATCAACCTCTATTCAATATTTTAAAATCTCTACAATCAAACCTCTAACTCAATTTGATCAAATCACAAACTTTCCTTAATTTAAGGTTTAGGCCAAAAATCAATATAGCATTTATAGATGGTTTCGATCATTAAACAAGCTTGAAAATGATTCTACAATCTCAACAACCTCGAAATCCATCATCGATTCATAAAACCTTAATATGAAGATAAACCCTAAAATTTGGAAACTTAACATTCAAGCAATATTAGCACGCAATAAAGGTACCAAATGATAGAGCTTTTCGAATAGAACAATTTTATATTTCACGGTTCAATCCAAAATACAAAGGAAATTGCTCAAAAATGAAAAATAAAATTTCTCTTACATAGGTTATAAGAGCAAGAAATGGAGGTTGAAGAAGGCCTTATTTTCATGAAATTCCTAGTTAAATTCATGTTAATTTGTAATTTATTAAGCTTAAATGAATTTAAAATTCTTTTAATTAGGAAATGACAATTTTACCATTAATCAAACTTGATAATTACATCCATATTAAGCCACATGTTGGTTATCATCTTTCAAAGTCAAATATGAACGAAATATTATTCCCTTGACAACTTCATCCATGCAACTTTCCAAGAATTTCAATCTTGCCATTTTCATCCTACGGTCCAAATTGAACATGAAAATAAATTCTCAAATCCAATGGTCCATATTATTTTCCATCATTTTAAAATATGGAAATAATATTTCTAAGCTTAATTTAATATCCTTCAAATTTTCTCAAAATTTATGTTCGATCCGATTTACCGAATTTTACCAAACTTTAACACTTTACAATTTTTAACATAAGCTCTGGATCAAAAAACTGATTCCCACCAAAACTTCATTCTTGGGGTGAAATATTCATTTATGGGGTCAAAACACTTATCTTTTGAAAATTATAATTTTGATCCCTAAACTTTTGAAATTTACCTTTTAGGTCCTTGAACTTTTCTAAACTTTATACTCTGGACACTAAACTTTCAAAATTTATATTTTGTTCACTAACTAAAATTTTGGGTGTTACACACAGACCTAGTACTATATATCGTGGGAAGAGTGGAGCTTTGGCATGTTGTTACATTTAATATTTTATGTTGATATGCTATATGTTAATATATGTACGCATTAATCTAATTATGTATATCTATAATATATTTGAATTCTGATTAATGTTGCATCACTATTAATTTGAATATTTATGCATTTCTGTCATTCTACATAGGATTATATCCCCATCATGATTCTGTATGGGATTATAAATTCCTTTTGATCCTCCATGGGTTTATATCCCTTTCCTGTTTTTACATGGGATCATATTCTCATTATGTTTCTGCATGGGATTATATCCCCAATTTAGAGGTGGCATTCAAATCGGGTTCAATTTGGGTCATTTCGATTTAGACTTAATTTGGGTCAGGTTTGTGTTGGATCGGATCATTTCGGGTTTCAATTTTATTCGGGTCTATAGTAAGTCAGGTTGGTTCGGGTATCAGGTCGGGTCAATATCAGATCAGTTGATTTTGGGTCAGATCAAGTCAAATCGGTTGATTTTCATGTTAGTTCAATATTCGATCAATTATTTTCAATTTAGGTCGACTTTGGATCTTCATGTCAATTCAAATGGGTTGGGTATAAGTCAAATCAAGTATATATAGAATTATTGATATAGTTTTGTAAAAAGATCTGGTTTGGGTAAATTAAATTCTGGTTAATTTTGGTTCAGGTTATTTTCAGTTCGGCTTCTTTCGATTCATGTTACTTTTGGTTTGGTTAAATTCATGTCGGTTTTGGGTCAATTCAGGTTAATTTTAGTTCGATTAATTTTGGTTTGAATAAAAATTTGTGTCACTTTCTGTTCGATTCGGTTTTTTAGGTTTCGGGTCAAATTTGGGTCATCATGTTTGGGTATATTTTGGGTCTCGATTTGGGTAATCGGGTTCATGTCAAATTTGCCAGGTCTAATCTCCATCCTGTTTCTGTTTAGGATTCTCTTTCAGAGGGTTAAACCCCCATTTTGACTTATATTTCTGATTGGGAATCTCTACGGAGAGTAACATCCTCATCCTATTATCTGCGACGAAAGGTAAAGTTGTGTGAATTCCTATCATATATTTCTAGTAATGGTCAATTAGTTTATTGATGTATGAATTTAAATTGCATCATTATGACATATATGCTTTACTTTCTAGTTTATTTCTTTTTAAGATCTATTCAAGTTTTAGGATTACAACCTGTACTTAGAGGATCATTTAGTATCAAGTTTACCTTTCAGACATCGTATGGACATTTTTAGAATTTATATTATTTATTTTTCGTTTATTTTCTATATATTTTTAAATGGGACTTTGGGATACTATGTTTTTACATATTTTGGACTTTTAACTTGTATTATAGTACGTATTATGAACTCATATTCAATTTATAGATTTAGACCGATTTCTTGATGATGCATGTTATAATTTGAAAGTTCATGACTTCTGTTAACTTGAATTAGTTTGGTCTCCAAGATTTGGTCGAAACATCCAGGCCGAGTCTAGGAGGTTACATATAGGATGTTGCTTTGTTGAGTTATCTGACTATTAAAAGTTATGAAATGATCCTATGACTATAGGGCGTTGCTTTATTGAGTCCCTCAACTATTAAAAATAACAAAATGATCACTCGACAATTCATATGTTCTAAACTCATCTTTTTTGGTTAAAAAATTGACGGTCGTCTAAGCTGAACGTTAACATGCTAACTGTGATATGATAATCAATTGAGATTTTGAGATAATATTTTATTATATCTCAATCAATAGGTTAAAGTCCAATTGATATTGATATTAACATCAAATTTTAACATAAAAGAATGAGTTTGGAACATATAGATAGTCGAGTGATCATTTGTAACTTTTAATAGTCGGAAGACTGAACAAAACAACATCCTATAATCGAGTATCACTTTGTAACTTTTAAAAATCAATAACTCAACAAAATAACATCCTATACTCGAGAGATCATTTGCCTACTTTACCCTGTAAATTAATACAACATATGATTTTGCCTTCTACTGTATGTGCCTATTAGTTTAGTTCCTTGCCTTGTATTTTCTAATTAGTGGACTTTCGACAACCCTAAAAGTCCACATGTCATATCTTTTACGTGTGGATACGATTAATGATTTCAATTGTTGAATTGTTTAATTACGAAAAGTAAAAACATTATCTTGATTAAATTTAGTCTTACACGTGGACTAATGAAAATCATGGGGCATGCATAGAGGTAGGTAAAAGGGGCAGAGGATTGGTTCACTTGGAGATAGCCTGAGTTTATCCCAATGCAGCCAGCCGCCGCTCCCCTCAATATATCTATATATACGCCATTGAACCTTACGAACAAATGAATCAATACCATCTAAATATCTCAACATTTTTCAGGAAAAAAATGAAAGCATCAATTTCCACCATTTTCATTGTTTTGATATTGGTTTTGTTATCAATTTCATTGGTGGCATCTAACAATTCAGTTGACTTTGATAGTTTTGTTGGATGTCTTCCTACACATTCCGATCCCTCATTTCCTATTGCAGATGTCATATTAACGCCCAACAATTCATCATTCGAATATATTTACCAGTTACGTGCAAATAACCTTCGAATCTTCTTGTCTACAACCTCTAGACCAGTAGCCATTATAACTGCCCTACATCCATCTCATGCTCAAGCCACCGTCGTTTGCGCCAAGCGCTACGGTTTCCAAGTAAGGATTCGAAGCGGCGGTCATGATTTCGAGGGACTTTCGTACACTTCTGGCGTGCCATTTGTCATTCTCGACATGTTCAATCTCCATTCTATCGATATAGATATGGAGAGTGAGACGGCGTGGGTTCAGGCTGGGGCAACAACCGGTGAACTTTATTATAGAATAGCCGAGAAAAGCAATGTTCATGGGTTCCCATCCGGAGTTTGCACTACCCTTGGCATCGGTGGACACTTTAGTGGTGGCGGTTATGGGTTTCTTATGAGAAAATACGGACTCTCCATTGATAATGTCATCGACGCACAGTTGATTGATGCCAATGGAAGGATCCGTAACCGTGAATCAATGGGAGAAGACGTATTCTGGGCGATAAGAGGAGGTGGAACAACCAGCTTTGGAATCATCCTTTCATGGAGGGTCAAGCTGGTCCGGGTTCCACCTATGGTGACAGTATTCACCGTGCAAAGGACATTGGAACAAGGCGCAACGGAGCTCGCTTATCGTTGGCAACAAGTTGCGCCAAAACTGCCAAAAGATCTCTTTATTAGACTCCAGCCTCAACCTATTAACAATGGAGGCAACAATAGAACCGTTAGCATTTCATTCATCGGCCATTTTCTAGGGAAAACTGATGAACTTATACAACTGATGAACACAGACTTTCCCGAATTGGGTTTACAACGAAGTGATTGTTTAGAGATTAGTTGGGTCGAATCGACTTTATACTGGGCAGGTTTTCCGAATGGAACCTCCATTGATGAGTTGCTCAATAGAGTGCAAGTGGACCGATCGTTTTCCAAGAGCAAGTCGGATTATTACAAAGCAGTGATTCCTAAACAAGGGTTGGAGACGTTATGGGAAGCGTTGCTGGACATTAAAGACATCTTCGTCCAAATGAACCCTTATGGCGGAAGAATGGAAGAGATTTCAGATTCGGAAACTGCCTTCGCACACCGTGGTGGGAATCTTTTCATGGTACTATACGGAGTGACATGGTCCGAGTCCGACGGCGGCATTGACGCCGCTGGCCGATACGTCCAGCTGTCGAGAAGGTTGTATGGTGCGATGGCCCCGTACGCATCGAGCCGTCCAAGGGAAGCATTCCTCAACTACCGAGATCTCGACATCGGTAGCAACGAAAGTGGGGAGACGGACTTTGAGGTTGCCAAAGAATACGGGGCAAAGTATTTCAAGAACAACTTCATAAGACTAACCAGAGTGAAAGCCATGATAGACCCTGAAAATTTCTTCAAGAACGAACAAAGCATACCTCCATTGCCGGTGCGAGCAAGTCATTGAAACAGTTGTCTTCTATGACACAAAACAATAAAATAAAAGCGAAATATATTCTAGATTTTAATTTCTCTTGCCTTTTATTATTGCTTGTAGTTTAAGCACATCGTTTTAATCCATGTATAATAAATAAGAGTATATACGCATCGTGTTAATATTTTTATAATATTATTAATTAGTACAAATCTTCCCGAATATAAGTTTCCAACACAATAGTCAACATTTTGTTATCTCTTGCTTGAACTTTTGTCTTTCGTGCTAATACGAAACTATGACCACTCAAGATAATAATTCAACTTTATACTCATAATTTAGTATAGTCTTAATATAAAAACAAGTGTCCAAACTTTGTCTCAAAAATATTTTATTGTTTAAAGAATTTTCCGTAAAAATAGTGACATTTGTAAATTTCCCAACAACTGATATCATGAGTTTTGGTTGTGAATTTTGTCAATTTTTCTGTGAGGTTACTATTTACGTGAATAGTAAATTTTGTGAATAGTGAAAATTGAGATGTTGAATGGTGCACTCAAGACCTTCTTGGAAGGATTAGACCAGGGGCAATGCTCGGGGGAGAGCAAGGTGATGCCGAGAGACTTTCGGAGGTCATAGCTGTAGCCGGAAAGCTGACTGAGCTTGCAGGTGTCAAGCCAAGTAGCGATGTGTCATCCAGGCCCATGCCCAGAGATAGTGGCAATAATGGGGGAGAGTGCGAAAAGGTGCAGCGGGGAGATGATAGAGGAAGCTCTTCGAATGGTCAATGTGAGCCATCGATTGTTCGTAGCCAAGGAAAACCATCGGGAAAGAATGGCAAGGCTAAGTTTGGTGTGAAGAAGAATGGAGCAAGGAAAAATTAAAATGTTACTTCTGTGATGGTCCTCATTTGATTAGAGGATGTCCCGAGAAGCGTCGCCTTACAACCATCACGAAGAGGATGGGAGAAGGAGAAGTAGCGAGAATTGGCGCTGTTGCAAGTGTTAAAGCTGCCAAGTCAGGGAAAATACTTGGTCCGATTGAGGGGATCAATGCGGCCAAGCAAGGAACAAGACATGGTGCGACTACAAGTTCTCAAGTAGTCAATCCAAGATTGAGACGTGACGAGACTGCGGGTATCAAAGCAGTCGAGAACAAGAAGGGACCTGGTGCGATAGCAAGAGATAAAGCCGTCAAGCCGAAGGTGCAAAGTGAGTTGGGTTTCTCAACTACAGAAGATAGTTACTCTCTCTACAACTGAAGTAAAATATGTCGCTGTTACGGAAGCCAGCAAGGAGATGGTTTGGCTCCAAAGTTTCTTGGAAGAGTTAGGCAAGAAACAAGAAAACAATGTCTTGTATTGCGATAGTTAAAGTGATATCCATCTAGCAAAGAATCCGTCTTTTAATTCCAGGACGAAGCACATATAATTGCAATATCATTTTATCTGGTCTCTTCTGGAATATGGGATTTTGAAACTTGAAAAGATTAGTGTAGCTCAAAATCCGGCAGACATATTAACAAAGACGGTGACTACGGACAAACTGAAGTTGTGTTCAGCTTCAGTTGGTATGCTTGAGTAACAAGACTAGAAATGTTGCTACATTGATCGAGGTGTGAAGACAGATTAAAATCAATCTTCAAGTGGAAGATTGTTGGTTAAAGAAAAGAGCTAGCAGCTGGCGACTGCTTAAAAATTCAAAGGTGGGCTTCCTAATTTTGTTGAAATTGGCAAAGGGATAATTACCAAATTGTGTCATTGAACTTTAGGGTATTTACAAGATTAAAGAAGAGCACGATGGGAGCAAACGCTACAAAGCAAGATTGGTTGTCAAAGGTATTCAGCAAAAAGAAGGTATTGACTACAATGAATTTTTCTCTCCAGTCGTGAAACTGTCTACAATCCGACTGGTGTTGAAAATTGCAGCTGCAGAGAATCTACATCTTGAGCAGTTAGATGTAAAGACAGCTTTCCTTCATGGTGATTTGGAGGAAGAAATCTATATGAGGCAGTTAGAAGATGAGGAATGTTGTTTCTCGAGTGACAGAGAAAGTTCACTCAATGATGAACCAACAAATAGGTACCTCATATTTCTAACGTAATAATTTTAAGTGTTGGCCGTTAAAAATCATCGTTAAGAACCGTGTCACGTTTTTGGTAATTTTGAAGATTTGTTTAAAAATAATTGGATGAACTTTAACTTTAGATAAAAGATATAATTTAAGAATAAAAAAATAAAATTATATAAAATAAATTAACTGAAATTCACAACATATATTAAAAAAAGTTATCAGTGACACGACAAAAAAAACTAGAAAAACATTAGAATGGAAAATAATAATGAGGACAAACTTCCGTTAGTGTGCTGGTTAGTATTATTACACATGTTTTAATTTAATTTAATTGGTGGGGCACTTATAGGGGCATATAATGGGGCAGGAGAATTTTATTCCCTCCTTTAAGAGGCCGAAGCAGATCTCCACCCATACAATGCTAATGTTCTTGTAATTGGGTTGGTTGGTTGTTATATTAGTCCATAATTCAAGAGTAAATCTATTAGATACCCATAATTATTAATAGTCAAATCATAGTAATACTATTTGCCGATTTTCTGCATGTAAGAATCAGAATATCATAATTTTGATACCATAAACTTAAATATCGTTTGATGTCAGAGAAGCATTGAATTCCATAAATATTATTCAAAATCATATTGTGGTAGAACATACCATTTCTCATCACAGACAATGGCCAACCTCGAGAACATTGTCTTCTTGCTGCTGGTGCTCTTGACGACGTATCCATGGGCACTTGCAGTGAGGCAAGATATGCTGTTCAAAAACTACCATATCATCATCACCAATGATTTGCCTAAAGATACATTTCATTTACCTTCACCAGACGCGCCACAGCTTTTTGTGCATTGCAAGTCCGGTGACCGAGATATTGGGCCCAAAGCCATGTTGAACGGCGAGGTCTACACCTGGGATACGAAGATCAACTTTTTCCGAACCACACTGTTTTTCTGCTACGAACGGTGGGAGAATTTTCTCAAGAATGGAACTTTCGATCTTTTCAAGGCCACCAGAGACGAAGACCGGTGCTTAGAGCATCAAGACACCTGCTTTTGGTCGGTGAGGAGCGATGGGTTTTACTTCAGCAATAATAACCAAACTTGGCGCAATGAATATCCATGGTAGGGATAAATAGTTTTCTTTCAGTGAACTTATGGAATAATTTAGAATGAATCTATATTTCATGCATTTATAGTTTATCAATACCCGTTCAATACACTTTATAATTTAGAATGAATTTATATTTCAATGTTCACTTATAGAATGTAGAATCTTAAAATGTACCCTTTCAAAGCACTTGTACATGGGAGCAGCAGCAACTGAGTCAGCAATAAAGTACACTTTATACAAGTTGTGGACATTAACACAATTGCAAACAAGCAAATGATCTAGTGGCAACCGACAGTAAGTCTCTGAGAAAAAAAAATACAAGGAAACATATCAAGCTCTTCGTCTACTAAGCCGCCAAGAATTTGGTTCGTGATATCTATCATAAAGCGGTTCGATTCGTTCTTGACATTTCCGCTTGCTCATTTTTGTGGGATCGGCGACTTAGAAGAACCTAGGTGCAAGTTCAACCAGCCACTTCGGATCTACCACTGTTACCTCTCACATGTACTCCTTTGTAGTCATTACCAGTTCGTGGTATATCACCCAGTCCGGTTGTCTCTGAAAAAGGGCACTGCTTGGGTGTGTATATAAACAGGTTGATTCTCCACCAGTGTTTTATATCCTCCCTGTGGGTCTTTCCTGGCAGCATGGAAAAAGAATCCTGCCGTGATAGTTTTCCTGATCTTTGTAAAGTTCTTTCCAGCACTCACTACGTCCAATTTGTACCTGAAAAAAAAACATCAGCTTTCCTGTTACAACTTCAAACTCGAGTAATAACTTTTAACGACTTAAAAGGATAGATCAAGAATCATACTAGTGAACATTAAAGATTCGAACAGAAGAATGAATCAAATGAATGGGAAAATATGATTGGTCAATGCTAACATTGAGTGTGTCCAGATTAGTACTAGGAGGCTACCATGATTCATAAAAAGCAATAAAGAAAGTTCAAAGAAGACATTCACAATTCAATTTGCATTTTTCTAAGGGCAAATCCACAGTTCCTAGCATATAGCACCCAAAAGTAAGAAACATAGAAAGCGTGTAGCTTAGGAATTTGGTGTTACGTGCTTATCTTTGTAGTAATAATCATGTCAAATATAAGTAAGGTTTGTACAACTAGGGGTGACAAAAAATGTTAAAAAGAGTAAATAAGCCCTAAACTATGCAAGAAAGTAACCTACAAGACATCAGGACACCGTTAAAATCATAGAACCTTAATCATGAATGGAATTATGAAAACCAGAGACAATTTGCAAAGGCAAAAACTAGATGAACATACTTGTCCATGATGTCAAGCTGTTTTCTGACATCCTGTGCCCTCGTCAAGGATCTAGACTGAACAAAATTTTCGAAACACCAAGGCCCTGAAAAGTTCTTTTCTTTCCAAGCTTCATTTACATCAAGTAGAATCAAATGATCTCCCTCGGGATGGAAAATTTTGGCCCTCTTCTGATCAGCCTGAGCTTGCTTTTCCCGTTTGGATCATTGCAATAATTGTTAATATCTCATCGCTACACTCAACATCTTGCATAGTGGAGGATCAAGAGGAAATTCTGCCGTTTTTCTACCCAACTTAGTCAAAAGTCCCTCCTCATCTAGAGCTCCTAGACTGTACAACTGCTCCATGGCAGAAATGAGAGCTTGGGGTGCAGGGGGATCCATAAAATCAAAAGAAAGGAGATCATTTATGCCCATGGCCTTCAGTTGTAGTGTTACCGTACCAAGATTAATCCTCTGGATTTCTGGAATTGTGGTAGGTGACATCTCATTTCGTTATGCACTCTCAGTGTACAAACGGTAGCATTTGCCACGTCCAGTACGTCCTGCACGTCCAGCATGTTGCTTTGCTGATGCTTGCGAGATTGGTGTTATGACCAGGGAATCAAGCCCTAGTTTTGGATTATAAACATTTTGCTTTGCAAAACCAGGATCAACCACATAATATATGCCATCTATAGTTAAAGAAGCCTCAGCGATATTTGTTGCAACCACCACCTTCCTTTTCCCTGGAGGTGTAGGATCAAAAATCCTAGACTGCATTTCACTAGGAAGGGTGCTATAAACTGGTAAAATAATCAACTCAGGTACATTTTTACCTAGCCTTTTCATCGTTTCATAAGGTGACTGGCATGCAAAATCAATTTCCTCTTGACCGGTCAAAAAGAGGAGAATGTCACCTTCAGGTTCAGTCAAGTGTATCTGTAGGACTGTTATCGAAGCAGCATCAAGGAAGTCACTCTCAGGCTGTTTTGTATAGAGTATCTCCACAGGGAACGTTCTCCGAGGAATTGTGAATATATTACAGTTGAAAAAAAATACCCTAAATTAAAATTTCTCTGCATTATTATGAGGACGGTAAATCATACGGTTTAAGCTATTACGCTGGTAATTACGATAGGTTGGTTTCTGTTAAGACCAAAGTTGATCCCAAGAATTTCTTCAGGAATGAGCAAAGCATTCCTCCTCGTTCCAAATAAGATTCAAACATCAGGTGGAAATACTTCACATATTGCTGTGATTTTAACAAATCACTGCAGCCTTAAATGTGGCATGCTTTGTAATTAACTCTTGGATTTTACTTACTCGATGGTTTGTAAGTTTTTTGATTTAATAAAATAATAATACTGACTTTTAAATAATATATGAGATTTCAATTAACTTGAATCCAATTCAAATCGAATTTGAATATATTTGCATGTGGTTTTAAAAAATTACGTGTGTTAATACTCTTCTAGTCCGATAAGAATCTTTGTTCTCAAGGACAAAAAAAAATATCTTTTTTTTTTTTTTGCAAGCCCGAAGAAAAATTCTCGGAATTCAATTTCACTTGTTTCTTACCTTTTCCACAAACTTTTTTTTATTTTATTAAAGCTGAACCAATATTTGAAATTTTAACGAGTCAAAACGAATTATTTAATATTGGATTTGAAAAGTTTACGATCTATTCGAAAAGCATTATATTATATTTATTTGATATCCGATTTAAAAGGTTTACAAACAAATCGAAAAAAATAGTCCAGATTACATTCCTAAACTTAAGGAAGAATGTGACATGTATCATAAAATATCCTAAAAGAATTATAATAAAATATAAAAAATAAATCAAAATATAATACACTAAGAAACCAACACTAATATCCATCTTTGAACACTTAAAGCTTAAGTACAAACAAGTAATCAAATATATTAACTAATCCAGAGTATGATAATAAATATCTTATCAATGGAGCAAATATTTTAACTGATTCAATTACATAATTAAATAGATATAGTCTCTTAATTGCTTAGTAATTATATGAATATATGAATTGAACACATGTACATCTAATGACTCGAAAGCCCCAATATTCGCATCTTTTTGCAGTGTGATGTGCACAACAATCGTTATTTATTTATTTATTTATTGTTTGAAAATTTTATTTAAGTTACTCACACATAAACAAACATAAACTTTGAGAATTACTAGCAAAAACAAAGAAAATAAAGAAAGTATCTCAACTATCTGGATATTTCCACATATCCGATTTAAATTATTTTAAAACTAAAAAATAGATCAGATATCTAAATTTTTAAATTGAATCAACAAATTGGACTGATAACCATACCTTGAACGACTCATACGCTAACCCTAACAATCTTATGGCACGTCAATTATCTTCGTTACATTATCAATAGTCCACAAATTCTTCTTCATTTGATAAACATTTATGCGTCCTTTAAAGAAATAAATATAATATAAGGTTTTCATGTATCTAATTATTTAGGCTTGAATTTTAGTTAAGTTAGAGTTTGAGATTCAATCGAGTTAAATATGTTCGAGAATGTTTCAAGTTCAAACTTTTTTAAACTCGAGTCGAGCTTTAATTTTTTATTTTGAGTTTAAGTCGAACTTAAAAATTATAAACTTTTGACCTTTGGAGCTTGATAATTATAAACTCACTAGTTTTCAAATTCAAGTCAAGCTTGATAATTATAAGCTCACGAACTTTTAAGTTTATGTCCAGTTTGACAATTAAGTCCATCGAATTTCAAGTTGAATCAAACTTAATTTCAATTTTTTTTAATGTCTATGTCAAATACCACTCATCTTTATGCTCGTGATCGAAAATGCCACTGACGTTTCAATTTTGTCAATATTAGCACGGACGTTTATGTTTCACTTCAATTAAGTTACCCCGCCGTTAATCCGTTAACGGCACGATGACATGGCATGGACGAGCCGTGACGGTGATGACATGGATGCCTTACCAAAACGACGTCATTTCAACACAACTATTTTGATACTCAATAAAGACAAAACGAAGTCGTTTTGCTTGAAAAAAATTATTGAAATATTATACTACTAGAGGTATTTGAACCCTAAACCCCTTGAAATTAAATTGAATGCTTAACCATTGAACTACATTATATTTTTCTGTTATCTTTTCTATAAAAGTTTTAAAATTTTAAAACTCCAATTAACAATGTTTGAACCCCAAATAAAATTGTTACACGGTCGCACAGATAATGAGATAAAAAATTACTGGAATACCCGTATTAAGAGATGCCAACGTGCTGGGTTACCTCTGTATCCTCCTGAAGTGTTCCTGCAAGCACTGCAGGAGAGCCACAGTACCAGTGAAGCTAATAGATTGGATAAAGGACCTCATGATATCGTGCAGATTAATAACTATGAGATACCTGATGTCATATTTGACAGTTTAAAGGCCAATCAAAATGTGCTGCCTTATGTTACTGAGCTTCCTTATATCTGCTAGCAGTATGCTGATGAAAGGTCTATGTTCTTCTCAATATTGTGATTTCATGCCATCAACAATCCATCGCCAGAAGCGTCTTCGGGAATCACCAACCTTTTTCCCTGGTTATACCGGTGCTGTTAAAAATGAATGCCCTTTGTTTATGCAGTTTCAAGATGATATATCAGATAAGGCTGCTGAATCCTTTGGGTTGTCTTTTCCAATTGAACTAGATCCCGCAATAAAGAACTCCCAGTCATTTGGTTTATTCCCAGGTAGCCATGCCCTTTCAAATGATGCATGGGTCTAGATTCTTGTGCATGGGTCTGTCAAATGTCTGAACTCCCTTGATATCTTCTACAGCAATTGTATAAACTTCCGTGAAGCTTTTTTTGTTTGTTTCATTCATTTCATGATTTGTTTGATGTGGATAGTCAATCAAACCTGGTGATTGAAAGTTCATTTGTGGTTGATATCATCGAAGGGTACGAGTCATGGATGTTTTTGGTCTGTTGTCTATGATTTTTTTTTCTGTCAAACTGTTGAATGCGTGTATGCCGACATGAACTCCGAGGTATACAAATGCATTCGAGATGTTATAACTTTTAGAATAATTATGAACTTCCAGCATGGACTCTCCAGAACAAATGGTTTTCTATTTAATGCATTGTGTATGCCTTAACTGAAATGCTTATTTGTGTTGGGGTTGTTGACAAGGGAAACACAATTATATTTCATTGCTAGGTTTCAAAATCTTTGTTTCTATTCAAGCAAGAGTTACTCAAGTTAAGCATTAGAATATTCGAATTTGATTTGTTCAAATTATTGAACATGACCAAGACGAGCTTCCCCATTGCGTTGTAGTAATTCTTTGATCACAACGAAAAGAGCATTACCTTGATAACTCGAGGTAGAATTCAGAAGCCCACCAATAGCCTCAAGATTATCATATTCCAATTCTATTCGTCTATATCCAAGTCTCTATGCACGTCGAAGCGCATCACATATCGCCAACAACCTTCCATTCAACACTGAACAATTACCTGTACTTCGATAGGAGCCAAAGAGCCAGTCACCTTGATCCGAATGAAATACACAACCTACGACAGCTTGGTCATCAACTATATCCACCGCAACATCGGTATTCATTTTAATCCACCCCTCCGTCGGCCTCCTCCGATAATTAGAGCTTGATTCCCGACTTTTCGCTAAAGAAATACATCGAATAGAATTCTGAATAACACCTTCAATTTCTTTCGTGTAATCCATACTCAATTTTAGGGACCTAGTTATTCATTAGCTCGGGGGCACTTGGTGTTACGCTGTTTTCGCCACTGATCTCTTCGGTCATGGCAGATCCGATGGTCTCCATTGTTACTTAGGTACCCGTATTGAATCATCACCGCCGTCGACATTGGAGTTCCACCGAGAAAAAGAAGACATATTTCAAGTTATAGCGAAAGTTTACGACGATAACAAATGCCCCCGTCGCAAATTCTATAATATCTTTGAAAACGACGACGATTTAACTCCACCTCCAGTGCCTCCCAACACGGTAAAGAAAAAACGACGATGGAGAAAAAGGAAAACGACGCCGAAAAACCGGATGAGCACCTCGTCGGCTAAGAGCGGATTCTTTACCAGCGGAAGCTTTGAAGACTATGGTATTAACGACAGAGAAACGGAAACCCTTGTTTCAGCTTCGAGGAGCTTCTCCACTGATTTCATCTCAGAGATGTTCAACACCAACTTAAAAATTATACCGGAAACAAAGCCTACGAGGCAAAGCAAGAAGAAACCAAAGAAAATTAAGAAGACAAGAAGGTACGCTATAAGATTTTCGTCATCAGAGAGCGAATCGCCAGCGAGGTTGTTGAGCTTCTTGCAACGGATGATACCGTGCGCGGTGGACGGCAGAGTGAGGGAGAGTTTTGTGATGGTGAAGAAATGGGAGTTTTGTAGTGACGAATCTCCAACTTTTCTCAGGTAATACAGATGCTACGTGGACTAAATAACTTTAAAAAAGCCGTCCATGTCATCGCTGTCACGGCATTGGCACATCGTGTCATCGTGCCTTTAACGGATTAACGGCAGGGTGGCTTAATTGGAGTAAAACATAAACGTCCGTGCTAAAATTGACAAAATTAAAACGTCAGTGGCATTTTTGATCCAGAGCATAAAGATGAATGGTATTTGACATAGATTACCCTTAATAATATTCAAATCCACTCAACTTATTTACAGTGGTAATCATAACTTTGCCTTTATATAATTGGCCACTTTACTAGTATCTTTTTTGTAAAAGCGTGGGTAATCAGCGGAATCCGTGCATACTAGATAAAAGTAAAAACATTGTCGGAAAAGTTAGGTGTGGATTGAAGACACTAATGTTAAAATTTAGATGTGTTTAAATTTAGGTGTAGATTCAAATTATTCAAAAAAAAAAACAGATCAAATATTAGAATGTTCCGATCGAATCAATAAAATCGGATAGGTTTTTTTACACTCTTAGTTTGAAACCCATGGCTTCTAAGTTTTAACATTCAAGTTTGAATCTGATCATACAACTATTAAAATTAGTTAAATGAGTTTAGATTCAATCATTTAAGTATTAAAATTATCAATTTAAACACTAATATTTATAAAAACTTTAATAATCTAACTATTAGATGACACATAACATTATCACATCTTCAACATCTCATATAATATTATTCATGTGTTATTATGATATTATAATTAAAATAAGATATATTATAATTTTTTACTGTTTAACTCGTTGAAAAGTTTTAATTTTCTATATTAAATTTTAAAAGTTTATGATTTAATCATTTAATTTTATATTTCTCTAAATTTATAAATTATAATTTAATTGTAAATTACGAGTACCATAAAGTCCAAAGCTTTTGCAAATGTATGGGAAGAAATGGAGTTGGATTCCTTCAAAGGTTTACCTTATAAGCTAAAAGCTTAAGCACAAGCATCCTTCACTTCTCTCTATGAAATTGATCAATGAAGGCAGCAAAATTCATCAAAAATGATGATAACAATATCAACAATATAGAATTGCTTTGGCGTGCCGTATAAGTGGATCGGGGTAAGTTTTGGCAATTTGGACGGGGGAAATAATTTCTTCAAGTAATAACATTTCCTTCTTAGATGTGGACATCAAGCAACTTCATCTCATTTCAAATATATTTACAGTGAACTTTAAAACAAATTAAACTTTAAAATAAAGTAATTTCCCCATGCATCCACAGTACAGTTATGCTCCAAAAAAGTAAGTTCCAGGCCCATCCGTCATGGTCAGATTTCCATCGAGTTTAGGTAGCTTTTTGATAAACAAACATAAATCTAAAGGGATAAAGGTTGATTAGCATTGTAATTAATACTAAATTAGTAAGTAAGAGACAAAGTTTAATTAAGGATGAAATGGGAAGGGAAGGGGATGGGCTATAGTGATTCTATTATAAAAATGTGCAGAGAAACCGGTGCTGGATTTGACTAATGAAAAGCCCCAGATGGTGTCCCCCCAGTCTTTTTTATTTTTAATCCAGCACTCTTAGGCGTCTTTTATTCCAGTATGTAATTAATTTAAGGTAAATTATTACCTCTTTTTCCTTCCTTTTTGTTTAAATTTCATTGAATTGGGTCATATCATTTTACACATAGAAAGCCTAATTTCAAGCTAAGATCTCACATTGGAAGAGACAAAGAAATCAATTAAGCATTGTTAACCGACCAACCAACAAAGTTTACTTGCTTTAACTCTTCTTAAATTTTGACTAGCTTCTTTTTGGAATTAATTATATGCTCGAACTCCAAGTCTTTTGGCCAATGGCAAGTGGGTTTAGAATACTAAAATAAATAAATAAAATGAGTGTCTTATGAGTCTTTACGCATTGTTTTGCGGTAGGCCGTGCCCATACTTTGGTATGGACAACATAATTCAAAATTCGTTTTTCTATTAAAGAAATTTTATTAGAACTAAAATTATAAAAAAAAAACTTAATATAAAAATAAGTGTTTAAACTTTGTCTCTAAAAATTTAATGTTTTAATGCCTACAAAAATTTTCGTTAGAATTAAGTGTCTAACCTTCTCATTGGAGCAATTTTAGGTGTTTGGACCGTAACAGCTGTTAAATTTTGTCGTTAAGTGACACGTGTCAAGTAGAGCCTTGATAATTTTGAAAATTTATTTTAAAATTTTAAAAAATAAAAATATCTTTTATTATTAAAAAACCAAATCTCCATCGCAGCAGCCCCCTTCTTCCCCACCTTATCCCTTTCCCCTTTCTCCCTCTATGGTCATCGATCGGTCGGTTGTGACCACCATCGCCACCGATGTTAGTACCAAAGTCGACTCCCAATCAAACTCCTATTGGCCTTTTTCCATAAGTTACCACCGTTTTCCGTAGAGAAACATTCGAAGTTTCATCGGATTTTAAGTCACCATCACTATTTTTCGTCGATTTTGACTGATCTCGACGTTCATATGTAACGCCTTCACCACCATTCGAACCACCATCCAATTCCGCTCAAAACTCATCTTCGTTGTCTCTCCATCGGTGCTCCTCCAGCGTTCCACCATGGTAACGGGGTTGGAATGAGATATTTTATTTTTGTAGTTTTTTTATAATTTCATGAAAAGTTTGGGGTTTTTTTTTAAATAAATTAAGTTTTTTTTTAAATTTTTCATTAAAATATATTTTTATTATTAAAAATAAAAAATAATTATTGACACTTAAAAGTGTAATTGAGAAAAACGTTAAACACCAATTTCTAACGAAAAATTATTTAGACTCATTATTGTATTAAACTTAAAAAGAATAAGGTGACGTTTGGTTCGCTGAAATCTCTTGGAATTAGGGGAAATTGAAATTCAATTCCACTACTTTTCCATATTTGGTTCAAGTTTTAGAATAGGGAATTGGAATCCAATTCCATCAAGGGAGAGAAAGTAAATTTCATCCATAACATGATGGAATTGAAATCCTTTGGAGGAGGAAATGTGAAATTTGACCATACTATTCTCATCAATCTTTTGATATTCGAGTCAGATTTTTTTAAAAAAAAATCGGGATCGGGTCGGATTTTTTTAAAATTTTCGGGTTCAGGTCTGGTTTTTTTAAGTGTGATATTCGGGTCGAGGTCGGGTCGGATTTTTTTTAAAAAATCAGGTTCGGGTTTAGGGTGAAAAATACCCGACCCGACCCGAAAAATATATAATTTTACCTTATATATTTAGGAATAATTACAATAATACCCCTATATATATATTTTTTCAATTAAGTCGTTGTTTTTATTAAATAAAAATAATTTTTTTATTATTTCGGGTCGGGTTTCTAATTCATATATTTGGGTCGGGTCGGGTGAAACTTTATTTTGGTCGGGTCGGGTCTCGGGTGGAGGTTCCCTTGTTCTCGGGTCGGGTTGGGTGAACCAAAAACCCGACCTATAGTCATCCCTAATTAGGATGATTTTAACTTATGATGTTTATTAGTATGATTTTTATAATTTATTGAATGAATAATCAATCAATAAAATGAAAATTTAATCTTTTTAAAATTTTTATAATATATTATTACATGTAAGTTATAAAACAAACTAAAATTAAACAAAAAAACAAGAAGGCCAATTCTGTCATTTTACATTACTGAAATCAAATTCATCTGACATGTCTGCGAATCAAACAGAATATAGAATTGGATTCTAATTCAATTTCCTGCCAACCACACATGTTTCGGATTCAGATTCAAATTCCTTCAAATTATAATTCTTTCAGATTTCAATTCCTTCCAAAATTCTAATTCTCTCATAAATATTTCAGCGAACCAAATGTCAACTAAGATAATTTAACAACAACAACAAACAGCTAAAATTTAAAAGAAAGCAAAAACACAAACCAATACGAAATCCGAACAAAATTTTAATTAACAAGTGAGACGTGTATAACTCAAAACAAATCTTTAAAAGAGAAGATTCAGGCTAACTCAAAAAGAAACAACGCAAAGCACAAAATAAACAAAAATAAAAAGTAAATCGTTCGATTTTAAAACCTTTAACAAATTATCATTTGACGTTTTCTTTGAGGAGAAAATTGACACGTGCTTTTTTATCAGAACAATTTTTTTTGAATAATTTTATTAGAAGAATAAATATCTCTTTTCAACAAAAAAGTTAAAAAGCATAACAATAATTTATGCGGGTGAATTATTTAGCCTAATAGGATAATTTAAGATTTATGATATTTATTATATTTGGAGCGAAAACTCGTTTTAAAGAGGAGACGGATTTTAAAAATATTTTTTTATTAGAATTCTTCATGTGGAGATGACGAGTTTTAAAAAATATATAATCTTTTTATTGTAGCTTTTCTAGAGGAGTGACAAATTTATATTTTATCAAAACTTATCACCCTCACATAACGAGTTCCAAATCATTATAACAATCGTTGTAAATTATTAATTAATTTCTAGACCGCCTTATAAATTCAAATAATTATTCTACCTAAATTATTGGGCTAATTTCGCCAAAAATAATATTTCAAATATGATCAAAATAATATAAAATAAACGTTTAGATTAATATTAAACTTTAGAATTGTAATGTACGAACTAACTTACCTCAGTGGTTAAAGGAATCATTATTATTCCAAAATGTCACAGATTCGAACAATTGCTTGGTGCTTGGTGCTTGGTGATTGGACGTTTCATTGTCAAATGGTTAATAATATTTAGAACAAATATTATTTTATAAACACTATCGAAACGATCTTTTACCCAATGAGGAAAGGGGTGGTCCCGTTTCGAAAATGATTTTAGTGATAAAAATGTGGTTCACGGAGACACCACCAATCTTTGATTAGGGTGTAATTGGGCACTCAAAAATATATTTATCATTTAAATAAAATATTAATTTTAATTAAAATGACAAACTTGTGGTATGCGTTACCAAAATTTGAGTTCAGGAGTCGGTTACGTGTGGGGAAGGATTAGCACCCCCACAATGCCCTAAATCGGTACCTAGTCGATTAATTAATTGTCTTTGCAATAAAATGTACAAGTTCGAGTTTAACTTAATTTAAGATCCCCTAGAATAATGATTTTACCTTCGGTAAAATAACTTTTTTGACGACGTTTAGGTTTTGATGAAGGTAAGATCTCCTCTCCTTTCGGTTTGTTTGCTTTCTTCCCGTTCTTCTCGTTGTTCTCCTTTTTCCCGTTGTGTTCTTTTTTTGTAGGGAAATCAAGGCTTTTTATAGGCCTCGGAAGGCCTTGGACCACCGTTCATTTTGGTGAGTCACCGGATCTACGATGGTGACTCACCATAGGGCGAGGTGTGCGGTTCTCCTTGTTTCTTCTGGATCCTTCTGTTGGAGGCGACGGCGTCGTGGCAACGTTGGAGTGGACCATCTGGAGGCAGCGCCAGAATAGTCCCTATTCTTGCTAGATTGGATCTGGACTGTTGGATCTCTCCAGATCCAACGGTTGTAGATGCTGGCGGCTAATATCAGATGTGAAAACCCTAATCGGGTTTTAGACTTCATGGGCCTGAACCGGGTCTGGGTCTGGCATGGGTCTTGGGCCTTCGAGTCTTCGTTTGTAACTGGGCTATGATTTTGCAATATTTGTAACAATAATAATAATAATAATAATAATAATAATAATAATATGATAATAATAATTGTAATATAATAATAATAATAATAATAATAATATATTATTGGACGAAAATGACTATCGACACACCTTAGCATAGACGATGGCAAAAAGAATCAAGGAATAGCAAGAGAAAGCACAAAGAGAATATGAAAGAGAAAGCAAAAAATTAGGATTTCAAATTTTGGGATTGTTTTATAATATAAGGAAAGATAGAGTTTTTTTATAAATATAATAATACTTTTTTAAAATAAATTTTAAAATTGCTAGGTTATGACACATGTCATTTAGGGGGCATTTGGTTAAGGTCATATTGGATTACCGGGGGAATAGAATGTCATTCCCTCTTTTGGTTAGCAAACATTCTCAAAGCCCGGTAATAAATTATTCCCAATAGTGGTATTTTGGGGGTATATTACCATAAATGTGATTATTCTCTTTCCTTAGGTATTGTTTCGGCGTTTTGGACTAAAATATCCTTAAATTGATTTTTTCAAAAATATCATTCTTCTGTCGTTGAATAGAAAAAATTATACAAAGGTTAAAAATAAATTTATCCTTAAATTATTTTAGATTTACAAAAAAATCCATAATTAGAATTTTATATGAAGTTCAGGGGTTAAAAATTTACCCTTTCATTAAACCTATTTATATTTTCAATTTTGTAAAAAAAAATTATGAATTTAAATTTTTTAAAAAATATATATAAATTAAGCATAGTAAAATTATAGTATAATTCAACTTGTTAAAAAATAAATATATAATAAGGATAATTTGATAAAATATACATTTCAATAATCTTTTATTCTTTTAACCAAATATTGTAATCTTACATTCCTGCTAAACGAACCAAACACAAAAGTGCAACATTCCCAGTAATCTTATTCCAGTCGGTAATCACATTCATGTTGGTAATCTTACATTCCGTGAACCAAACGCACCCTTAATGGGGAAAACTAACATCGTTGACGGTCTAAGAACCTAAAAAAGTTCGTTTGTAATGTTAGACACCTAAATAGATAAAAAAAATATAAACACCTATTCGACAAAAAAATATAATTTGAACACTTATTTAGTCATTAAGCCAAAAGACAGTCCAAGACTGACGCCATCATTGATGAAAATCTGAGAGAAAAAGATAAAGAAAGGAGGCGTTATTATATAAAAAATCACTAATTTTTTTTTTTTGAGAAATAACTCCGAATCAAATTAGTTACAAAAATACTCTTTAAAGTGCTATGTAGGATTACTTTGAGTCCTATAAGTTGCATCCGAGTTTTGTAAGATACGAGATCTATCAATTTTTTTAGATAAAATTATTTAATTTTATATATAACTGATAATAAATGCATGAAACTCGATTTTCATAAAACGCGATGTCATTTTGAGGTATTTTTCTAATAAATTTGATTTGGTGGTTATTTTAAAAAAAATAATTATTGGGTTTTTTTTATATAATAATGCCAAGAAAGGATAAGTGAATTTTAAGTTTTGTAATATATTTTCTTTGTTCACATAAGTCTCAATTATATTTGATGTTAAATTAAATCAAATAATTAATTGAAGTTAAACATGTTTAGTATCATCCTTTCATAGTAATCAAATTGAAAACTTCCTGCGAGAATATCGAATTTCTTATCCATCAACCAATGTTTTACAGATGAGAATAAACTGTCCAAAAGGAATAATAAATTGGTGGCAGCCGCCCTCAACCAGGTGATGATCATGACGTTAAGATTATGTCAATTGCACGTTTGCCTCCATTAAACCATACGCTTCAATCCTCCGTCTATAAAACACCTTCAAAATTCTTAAGCACATTACCAACACATAAACAATGGCGTTTCCCTCCATTTCTACCATTCTTCCTTTACTTTTACTCCTCCAGCTATCAACAGCTAAAACCTTCAAATCAGATCCCATTCAAGAAAAATTCATCCAATGCTTCAACGCCAATTCCGAGGTCGCCTTACCCATCTCCACTTCCTTTTTCACCCCTAAAAATGATTCTTTCTCCACTGTCTTGCAATCCACGGCACAGAACCTCCGGTACTTGACGCCTTCGATGCCTAAACCCGAGTTCATTGTCATGCCGTTGCACGAATCCCATGTCCAAGCTGCCGTCATTTGTTCCAAGCAGCTTGATATCCACCTCAGAGTCCGTAGCGGAGGCCATGATTACGAAGGATTATCTTATGTATCCGAAATTGAGTCGCCCTTTATTATGATCGACCTTTCGAAGCTCCGATCGGTGAAAGTCGACATCGAGGATAATAGTGCTTGGATTGAAGCTGGTGCAACTATTGGTGAAGTTTACTATAGAATTTATGAGAAAAGCAAGATTCATGGGTTCCCTGCAGGGCTATGTACTAGCTTAGGCGTTGGTGGGCACATCACAGGTGGTGCATATGGTACCATGATGAGAAAATATGGCCTCGGTGCCGATAATGTCATTGATGCTCGAATCGTCGATGCTAACGGACGAGTCCTCGACCGTGCAGCCATGGGAGAAGATCTTTTTTGGGCTATCAGAGGTGGTGGAGGTGCCAGCTTTGGCGTTATCCTTCAATGGAAGATAAATCTTGTTCCGGTCCCTGCTACAGTGACAGTCTTCACTGTCACAAAGTCCCTAGAACAGAACGGTACCAAGATCCTCCATCGCTGGCAACAGGTTGCCGATAACCTCGACGAGGACCTTTTCATTAGGGTCATCATTCAAACGGCCACAAACAATGGTGAGAAAACAATGACAACATCATATAACTCTGTATTCCTAGGTGATGCTGATAGGCTCCTACAGATCATGGAACAAAGCTTCCCCGAATTGGGACTAACCCGAAAAGACTGCATCGAAACAAGCTGGATCAAATCGGTTCTGTACATTGCCGGATACCCGAGAAACACGCCCCCAGAGATTCTTCTCCAAGGTAAGTCCACATTCAAGAATTATTTCAAAGCCAAATCAGACTTCGTGAAAACAACCATTCCAGAAACAGCATTGGAAGGACTATGGAAAAGACTTATGGAGGAAGACAGTCCATTGATGATATGGAACCCGTACGGCGGGATGATGGCGAGGATATCGGAATCCGAAATCCCGTTCCCGCATCGGAAAGGCAACAAATTCATGATCCAGCACTTGACACTATGGCAAGACGGGGATGATAAGAGTGCAGAGAAGCACATGGATTGGATTCGAAGGATGTATAATTACATGGCACCTTATGTTTCAATATTCCCCAGGACTGCTGCCTATGTGAATTACAGGGACCTTGATCTGGGGACCAACAAGAATGCAAGCACAAGTTTCATTGAGGCCAGTGGTTGGGGCGTGAGGTATTTTAAGCACAATTTCAACAAATTGGTGAAGGTGAAGACCAAAGTTGACCCTGATAATTTCTTCAGGCATGAACAGAGTATTCCACCACTTCCAGTTGAAGCTCGATGCTTATGAAGGAGTAATTATTAATCTTTGTTTTTCACTTTCATGCTTGATTTGTATTGCCTTTTTATTTTGTATTAGTCTTTGTTCTTTCTTCTTGTTATTTTCTGCGAAAATTGTGTTGCTTTGCTTATGTTGCTACAAAATAATGGCATTAGCATTTATAATTATAAACAGTAATTAAATAAATATTGTATCATAAAAAAATATTATCTTAAAAATAGTTTCATCATAATCGATGTAATTAAAAAATGAACGCCGTCTCTTGAAATTAACACAATATATTTAATTTTGTTCACCGGAAAATAAATGTGAAACTCAGTAGAAATCCGTTCTTTTCCGAGAAGGAAGGCAAAGATTGAAAGGACATGAACTAGGAAAGCAGTCATAAAAGAAGCTCGTCAAATAAGAGATGAAACTGGAAACGGTCAAGAAGCACATGAAGGAGAATTCGAGCATAGGGGGTGTTCATTCGGTTAAAACGGTGGCCGACCGAACCAAATTAACCATAATCGAATTAATTAAAAAAAATTTCTTTAACCGTTAACCGAATCGATTTTTTTTCCGAACATATTAACCTAACCGAATAAATTTCGGTTAATTCGGTTAATTTCGAATTAACCGAATTTTTTTTAAAATTTTCTAATTTATATAAAAATTAAATATTTTTTAATTCAAAAAAAGTTTATAATTAATTTAAATAATATATAATTATAAAATAAAAATTTTAGATAATTTTTTTAATTAATTAATATTGATTTAAGTTTAAAAGTTATTGGATCTTAAATTATTAATTGGGTTTTAAATTGTTTGGGCTTAACCCATATTTTATATATAATATATTTAATAATTTTTAATTAAAAAACAGTTTACAATTAATTTAAATAATATATAATTATAAATAAAAAATTTATATAATTTTTTAATTAATTAATATTGATTTAAGTTTAAAAGTTATTGGATCTTAAATTATTAATTGGGTTTTAAATGATTTGGGTTGAGCTCATATGTTATATATAATATATTTAATATTTAAAATTTAATTTCGGTTAATTCGGTTAATTAACCGAATTCGAACCGAATTAACCATTAATCGAATTCTAAAAATTTTCTTAACCGTTAACCGATCGAACTAATTCGATAACCGAACCGAATTAACTGAACTAATTCGGTTCGGTCAATTAACCGAATTAATTCAGTTATTTGAACACCCCTATTCGAGCATAAAAATGCTAATGCTTGTCTGATTTTTAAGTGAGGAGAAGATAATAGAAGAGCGGGTACCTTGAATGTTAAAATCTATGCTCAAACCAAATTTTAAACCGGCTTATTTATGTATGGGTTAATCACCCTATTTATACATGAACTATATCTAATTCTTAATTTTATACATAAAATTTAAAAATTCTTGATTAATTATATAATATTTTCTTCCATTAATGGATATATTCATTTTCGTCACGGAAGATGACATGAAACCCTAAGATCTATAACAAACTAACACTAACACGTGACACTTAAAAAACATGTTTTTATTTTTTTAAATAAATTACATCATTTATCATTTAACTACCTTCTTACTCTTATTTTAATCACTAAAATTTAATTTTTTTAATTTAATTATTATCCAGCCACGGTAGGTTTTACCGAATTACACTGAGTTGTGTCGGCGTTTTTCCTCATGGGTACTGCTCCAACTCAGTTCCCATCTGGAATCACCGCAAGTTTCCATGTCAAATTTGATAACAGAACTGAGTTTTCAAGCTCTAGTTTCCCATCCACTCTTAATATTACGAAGCTTAGCTTTCACCCCCAATTCCAAAATATTATCAAAAAGATGCTCCATGCGTCTTCTCTAAGAAGCCATTATCAAAAAGCTCAAATATCATCCACCATTGCTTCTCTATTACTTGGTCTAAACGAAGGAAGCGCTAATTTCTGATAAAATGGTGGTCCACTGTAGATTTTTCAGAACTTTCTGTGCTTGATTGCTCCTTTCATCCCATCGTGCTTAATGCTGCAAGGAAAATTCAAGTGTTGAGGGATTCAACATTAGGAATTACTGGTCTTGGTTTCTTACCATGTAGTAAGCTCTATTTCAAAGCAACTCAGCCTCCTCTAACTCGGAATAAATTCATCCATGGCTTCAGTTTTACAGCCTTTACTTTCAGCTTACCTATTGCTGCTCCTACCTCTTGTTACTGCTCAAAGTGGTGCCAGTGAAATCGGGGTCGGCAGCTCCATCAAAGTGATTTAGCCTTTGGGTTTCAACAGCTTGAAAATAACAAAGATCTTTTCATCCTCGCCATTTGGTATTATAAAGTAAAGCCGCATGTTTTTATCTAAAAAAAATAAGAGCGAATATATTTGAGTGATGAATAGTATAATTTATCTAAAAAAATTAAAAAAATATGTTTTTTAATGTGACACATGTCATGGTTATAAGGTTCTATGTCATTTTCCGTTACGAAAGTGGGTGAATCCGTTAACGGCAGAAAATATTATGTGACAAGCATTTTTAAACTTTATGTATAAAACTGAGAATCGGGTATAATTCATGTATAAATGGGGTAATTAACTCTTTATTTATTAATTACAATATTTAGACAGACTTAAATTAAGGTGGTAACTTATTTATCACAGTTTTTAATATAACGAATATTATTATGTTTATCATAAATATTGCGGTCATGAGTGTCATTTGAAAGAGTTAATTTGGGGTAAGAATAAGGTAATAATTATTTAAAGATAACTCTCAACCGTTTGGCATTAAACTCTCATACTCTAAACATTCATGGTACTTATACCCAATACCTCAAAAAATAACAATTATTTTACTGCCAAGATTACTTAATTCGTGCACGAAAATCAATTTGAAAATAAAGTTTGGGTGACTTTAAAGTCCCAAAATTTTTGTAATTGTTATGGGATAAATATCAAAATTACATGTATTTTAGTTCAATATGCAATATTATACATAAACCTCGGTATTATATAATTATATGTATGAAGTAACTTCAGTCAATTTTTACAATTAATACCGATATAACATAAAATAAAGGAAAATAAAGATGATCGTATCCAATATATGACACAGAATAAAGGAAAATAAATGAAGGAATAACCTTTAATTTCACCGTTTTACCATCTCTATCATACGTATTTGTTTGCTGTGGAAGAAATAGGTTGGATTCCTTCAAAGGAAAACAAAGGTTCTTCCTTTCAATGCCCCATTTATCTTAGAAGCTACAGCTTGAGCACAAGCATCCTTTCCCTTCCTTTTATGAATATGATTAATCATGGTCAACAAATTCATCAAATATAGTGATAGTGTAAAAGTTAGGATTGATCCCACTTTGCATCCCTAAATTATAGTTTACAAAATAATTTTATAAAAATGTGCACATAAAAGTAAGATTGAATCATTGAATGTGATGAATAAAGACTTTAAAAGCAAACCCACTAATGGTGTCGCATCCCTCATTGTCTAATATACTTGGTGCCTGCCGGCCTTGAGATTAGCTCTCCATTACACGTTTGCCTCGCCTCCATTAAACAATACGCTTCAATCCCACATCTATAAAACACTAATCAAACCCTCAAATTTCTTAAGCACATTACCAAACATAAACAATGGCGTTTCCCTCCATTTCTACCTTCATCTCATTACTTTTAGTCCTTCAACTATCAGCAGCTAAAACCTTCAAATCAGATACCATTCAAGACAAATTCATACGATGCTTCAAAGCAAATTCTGAGGTCCCCTTACCCCTCCACTGCATTTTTCACCCCGAACAATGCTTCATTCTCCACTGTCCTTCAATCCACGGCACAGAACCTCCGGTACTTGACGCCTTCGATGCCGAAACCCAAGTTCATCGTCGTGCCGTTGCACGAATCCCATGTCCAGGCTGCCGTCATTTGTTCCAAGCAGCTTAATATCCACCTCAGAGTACGTAGCGGAGGACATGATTATGAAGGACTATCTTATGTATCTGAAATTGAATCGCCTTTTATTATGGTCGACCTTTCGAAGCTCCGATCGGTGAAAGTCGACATCGAGGATAACAGTGCTTGGATTGAAGCTGGTGCAACTATTGGTGAAGTTTACTACAGAATTTATGAGAAAAGCAAGATTCATGGGTTCCCTGCAGGGCTATGTACTAGCTTAGGAGTTGGTGGGCACATCACAGGCGGTGCATATGGTGCCATGATGAGAAAATATGGCCTTGGTGCCGATAATGTCGTTGATGCTCGAATCGTTGATGCTAACGGACGAGTACTCGACCGTGCAGCCATGGGAGAAGATCTTTTTTGGGCAATTCGAGGCGGTGGAGGTGCAAGCTTTGGCATTATCCTTCAATGGAAGATAAAACTTGTTCCGGTCCCTGCTACAGTGACAGTCTTCACCGTCACAAAGTCCCTACAACAAAATGCTACCAAGATCCTCCATCGGTGGCAACAGGTCGCTGATAAACTCGACGAGGATCTTTTCATTAGGGTCATCATTCAAACAGCGACAAACAATGGTAAGAAAACAGTGACAACATCATACAATTCTCTATTCCTAGGTGATGCCGGTAGGCTCCTACAGATCATGAAACAAAGCTTCCCGGAATTGGGACTAAGCCGAAAAGACTGTATCGAAACCAGCTGGATCAAATCCGTGCTTTACATTGCTGGATACCAGAGCAACACCCCGCCGGAGATTCTTCTCCAGGGTAAGTCCACATCTAAGGCCTATTTTAAAGCCAAATCGGATTTCGTGAAAACAACTATACCAGAAACAGCATTGGAAGGGCTATGGAAAAGACTAATGAAGGAAAACATCCCACTAATGATATGGAACCCGTACGGAGGGATGATGGCGAGGATCTCCGATTCCGAAATCCCGTTCCCGCATCGTAAAGGCAACAAGTTCATGATCCAGCACTTGACTGCATGGCTAGACGGGAATGATAAAAATGCAACCAAGCACATTGATTTGATTCGTCGGAGGTACCGTTACTTGGCACCTTATGTCTCAAAGTTCCCCAGGACTGCATATGTGAATTACAGGGACCTTGATTTGGGGATCAACAAGAATGTGAG